CAAGATTATGCCAAAATTTCATGTTTTCCGTCCCGTTTTTGCTCATATCTCGGAGGCAAAATGAGCAAGAACACTCATTTGTACATCATTCTAGACAGAAATAAATGGCATTTTTAGAAAGTGAACCATGGATGAGGAAATGTTGGCAGTTTTCTCAAAAAAGGCTTGAATTCACGATGTTTCAGATTTGCGTGGTTTTTTTTTGACTTGCAAAATCCGCTTGAACTTAACGCTGCTTTTTTCGAAGTTTCTCAAGAACCATTTGAGCCACAGCATTCGTTTTGAGCAGAGTTTGCGCTACATTCTTCGGAAGGGGAAACACAGTTGCATTTTTAGGAGACGAGCAGCGAGTGTCTAATTTTTCACTCTTCAACATAAAGTGAACTGCGCTACACTCAAGCGAAGATTTTAACTCCAGATAGACAAAACTTAAATTTCAAAAAGCCGTCGACGATTAAAAAAGTATGAATCTGCAAAACGCGTAAAATGCCACCAATGAAATGCTGTTTCGATAGAACGCCCGCGATCTGATCTTCATAAATAAGGTTTTGGCAGCAATTTTTAACCGTTAAAATATTGAAATTATATAAAGAATGCTGAGTTTTCTCGCAAGCAAACGAACACGTCTAAGGATTGGAAACAATAAGAAGTTTCGACCGTTATTTTTTCGAATCGTCACCGTTTCGACTTACAACTTTAGCGTTTTTATTTATGTGTAACATGCTGATTCAGAATTAGCGTCATTCCTCTGGGGCTCTTGTCTGGCGGCATTTAAAACAAAAAAATATATTTTTAGCAGAAACTAGATATTTGCAAAAAACTGGATCAGAAGGACGGCAACAACTTTACCAAAACGAGAACCACTGAGGCAAAATTGGCAACCCCTAAAACGATATAAGCAGAACTTAATCATACTTGAACCTTTTCATTTATCGATGTGTTCCAACACTAATGATATAAGTGCACTTTCGCAAATGGTCGTCTTGCATGAAGCATTAATTTATCCTTTGAGGCATCAGAGAAAAATCTTCCAAACTTCGCATTATTTGGGTAACCACTTTCTGATCGGGGAATCAACTATAAATTGCGCAATTTTCAAATCGTTAATTAAAACCAAATATTTCGAGCAAAACTGATGAAAAACTCGGTTTTAGCTTGGCGTTGCAGAAATAGCAAATTCTTCAGCGCAACGACGCATACTCGATAATTTAAACGGGTTCGGCTGTACAGCAATTTCAAGCATCTTGGCAACTTGTTGCAGTTAACATTTTAATTACAGCTGCCGAAGCATTTTTGCCAAACTTTATAACTCATTGCACTCAATTTTGAACCAAAAAAATTGAGCTGGATTCAATTCAATTGGCTCCTCTATAGGATGTTGCTGTTATTTGAGAAATGTTTAGCAAAAACTTTCGATAAAAATTGCAATGAGGCCAATCAGCCCATAATGTATCACTTTAAATCTTGAAAAGAGCATGAGCAATAATCCATTAATCAGCATTTACCATTTGACTCCTATTACCTTTTATATGGCGTTCTGACACAGGTGCACAGGGCTTTAATTGATAAAAATCACCGTGTTTCTATTTTCGAGCTACACTATTGACAGTGCTTGGAAATATTGGATTTTTTTAATGAAACTTGACGTGCCAAATGCTGATAAATTAGGGTCGAGGCCCATGCCTTTTGTTCTAAACGCGATTCGAACTTTTTACCTTTCGTAAAACTGTTCGGTTGGGATTTTTCATTCCGGATTTGTTCATTTGCAGTAAACATGTAACAGTGGCCTGTCACGAAATGTCCGCATTTTTCGTTCGATGCTTCGAAACAGAAAAACTCAAATACGATTTCAAGTTTCCAGTTGAAAATTGCCAGAATATGGGTCAAGTTTTCCATTGTGGGAAGGCCATGAGTTGACTGGAGATCATAAAATTTTGGCATTCCGCGCACAAAGTTTACATAGAAGTGAATAGCAGGTAAGGAAGTCGAAATTAATTCGGTTCGGGTTAGCGTTTGCTAACAAAGTTGCTTTAGTATAATCTATGGCAAACGTACAGGCTGTTTCAACGATAGAGTAAAGTAAGCAACAGAAATAGACTTTCGAGGCCATTCCTGGAAACTAATGGGTTTTTCGGGTTTTTAGGCCGTCGTTCGGTAGAATTTCTTCTTGACGTTTCGCAAGCACGA